GGACCTTCAAAGTCTAGATGCATTTCAGAACTTGGTCTGCAGCTGGAGACACAAAGAGGAACAACTGCAGCAGCCCTGCCCCACACTTCTGCTGACCTGGGAGGTTTATGTCATGGCTTGTATCACTGTGGGAGGCCAACTCTGGTCCTGCTGACAGTAATAAACTGCAAAGTCTTCTGGCTGCAGGCTGCTGATGGTGAGAGTGAAATCTGTCCCAGAACCACTGCCACTGAACCTTGATGGGACCCCAGACTGCAAATTGGTGGCACGATAGATCAGGAGTTTAGGAGCTTGCCCTGGTTTCTGCTGATACTTGTTTAAGTAACTGCTAACACTCTGACTGGCCCGGCAACTGATCTTGACTGTGTCTCCCACAGATGCAGATGCAGATGCAGGCTGTGTCAACTGGATGTCACATCTGGCACCTGAAATGGGAAACTTAACATATATCAACATAGGTATTCAAGATAAATCAGGCCCACACCGCAATGCCAGGCAACTCTGAACCTTCAGAACTAAGTAAATTCCTGGCGCTGCCCTTTCTTACCTGATATCCAGAGCACCAAGAGGCCCAGAAAGTGAGTGGGGACCCTCATGTCCATGCTGTGTCCTGACTGGGACTGAAGCTGCACAGGGTGAAATCAGAAGCCTGTGAATAAGTCCACAAGTAGCTGGCTGGGATCTTGGGACATGCAAATTAGCAGGGCTGGAAGGGGTTTGGCCCAGCTGCAGGCTAGCTCTTCTCAGCAGAGGATCAGTGTCCCCTGGGACCCTGTCCACAACAGGGCAGCACAGATGTGCCTACAGAGCACTGTTTCTCACTTGGGCCACAGGACAGAATTGGGCTGCTGTCCAATGAGTAGAGTGCACTGCTGCTCTCACGTTACAGAACACGCCTTGCTTGAGGACTGGGGTTCTATGTTATGATCCCTTTGAGAAAGAAGAATGAAGGGAAACACATGGGCTGTTTCAAACAGGGTAAAAAATGAGAAAGCAAGACAAGAACAGAGCAGAATCTGTGAACTCTGCGAAATTCTCTGGGTTCATCTATTCACTATCACACCATGACTAAGATGGCAGGGAAGGACCTGACCAATGCTGCTGTCCAGCCCCAGGCTTCCATAGCACACACGGAAGCATGCTTCTGCTTGTCTTCAACCAAGCACAGTTCTAAGGCCCAGCCAGATACTTGCGCTAGATGTCCATTGCAGGATAAGTTAGAATCATCTAAGAAACAATGTGAGCATCAAGACATACTTAAAGTGGTAAACAGATATCTGGGGATCAGAATATTTCGGAGCCAAGGCCTCTGGAGAACAGCAGGGAAACAGGTCTGCAGTCACAACCCCTCTCCCCACACACCTTGCCCTCCTCTTAGGGACTCCTCCAGTGTTTCTCCCCCACATCTCTGACTGCAGTCGAGATCTACAGCCTCTGTCACCTCCACCTCAGAGTACACCAGGCCACTTCACTTGTGTTTCACTCATGGCTGGCCACATTCAGAGTTGTGACCCTAGCTTTGTGACCCATCCTGTTTCATTGCTGACCATGAGGCCTCCTGGCTAGTTCACCATAGTCAGGTGAATACCAGTCACAGATTGAAACATGAAATAGTAAGGAACTGGCACATAGGAAAGACACGGCACGTTGTGCACAGAGGCCCCAGCCACGTGTGCTTAGAGAGCTGGGCAGAGAGTTCCCTGCCTTAGTGGCTCCCTCACAGGAAAGCATCACTCTTTGTTTAATGTGCAGTTGTTCACCATCTGCTGGAAGATCTTTAACACAGCAACCTGTTTATTTTGATACTCTCAGGCCGTGACTGAATCTTTTCAACAGTATTCTTGAAGCTGATTGTATTCTATTACGTATGAGATAAGATGATATAGAAAATTCAAATGATTCCTCTTAATAAATCATCCTACTACAGAGGACAAAAGACTGACAGCTCACCTAGATATCTAAAGTGATAATAAGACTGTGAACATGACGTGTGTAATCCTCATGATCAGACAAAGATTTAGTTTTGGCAATGCCCATGAGCCCCTGAAGACCCTGCAGGAAATGTTTGTGAAGAATCACACTATAGATCTGTAAGGCCAGCCCATCCTTCCTGTCCCAGAACCCCTGCCAGAGCAGCCTCTGGGAACCCAGCAGCTCCCTAGCTCACACTCTCAGTGGTTGGTGACTGGCTGCAACTGTGGCAGCTGAGATGTGAGAAGGTCTCAGTGCTGGGTTCCCGCAAGCCACTCTCTAGCTCTCTCTTCCCAGTCTCTACATGGGGCATGAGGAAGGGATCACAGCTAGCACTGGAGCCCAGGTATATTTCTGCTTCCACCAATACTTACTTCCTTTAAGGGCCTCCAACATCTCCAGATTCATGTATCACACAGTGTAATATCTCTCAGGAAACCATTGCTCTCACTTTTCATTGAAAACAATGAACTTAAATGCTAGGAATATAATATGGACACATCAGTTCTAGATTTAGTTGAGCTTCATTGCTGGTAAATTGGTGACTCTGCTACTGCAGGTGGTGTTCCCAATATCACGAATATTCACTCATTCCAGAAATCTTCTAAGAGCATCTATGTTGTCCAACTAAACAAGAGGTGACAATATATAAAGGTCACAATAGCTGATTTTCAGAATAGCAAATACATTGATACAGACATTTGTGTTCAAAATAAATATGGTGACATTGTATTCCGGTTTGTCTCTTATTTTTGACATTTTTTAATGTTGGTTCATTAAGGCTATATAGTTCGTTTAATCAGATACATAGATTGATATCATTTGGTTTGTTCACTAGGATATTTTATGTTTCAGTGGCAATTATAATTTCATGTGTAATGCTACAAGTTTTTACAGTTTTTCATAGCCAGTTACTATTTACTTTGTTGCATTTAGTTAGATCTTTGTCACTGAGGTAATGAGTATTTACCTTCAAACACTATATAAACTAGAAGTGCATTTGTTTAATATTTACTAGTTATTCTGAGGACCTCTAAAGTAATAAGCATGACTATAAATACATTGGTGTAAGGAAGAAAATTTCTGAGTCATAGATCAGCAATTAACCTCCTGAGTTAATTGCTGAAATCAGTATTTAATAGAGTAGTTAATGCAGAGAAGACAAAGTAACCTCACACTTCTTCATTTCCTCACTGCAGGAAAACTCTTTGTTAGAATCCTATTTCCCTCTCTTCTCCTGTATCTTCTTTATAATCACCATTAACCTGTAATTCACAGACAATGCTGTGATTTTGGGTTGAACCAAGAAATGCTATCAGGTAACCTCCTGCCACCCATCTCTAAGGGATGGCACTGTAAACTACTTTTATAATACAGTGAGAGTACTAAAGAGAGGTGACTCGCTAGATTTATTCAGACACATGTATTATCACGTCCTCTTCGGAGAGCTCACAAGACAGCAGCCATTCAGAATAGCATACACTTTGCTCCACACACTGAAGGTTAATTTCAAGATAGAAAAAAAAATACCTTAATTTTATTCAGGTGTACCTTTACTTCTTAGAATTTTTATACCATGAGTTTTTAAGTTTCTATCCTTTGGATAATTAGCAATTAACACCTGTATAATTTGGTTCATTTATAATTTCATTCAACTATCTATAATGACAGGTATTTTTTAATATTTTCTTAAATTTTTAAGTCTTACGTGTTTTATTCCTCCAAGTACAGCTTCATCATACCTGAGGTAACATATAGTTCCCCTAAAAGACTGTGAACAAAATGAACTAACTGTGCAATATTCCCGTATTTATTAGGTATTCTCAGATTATTCCCTAAGGTAATAAACACAAATACATTGTTTTACTGTGTTACAGCTCAGGAAAAACCTCGCAAATTTACATTTGACACAGTAGCTAACACTGCTAAGGTGAAAAAGGTAATCTCGTCCTTCCTCCTCAATCCAAGAACACTCACAACTGGCATAATGTTATTTTCCTCCCTTCTGCTTCCTCTTTTCCTACTCACTTTCTCCTGGTAACAGTCATCCATCTGCACAATTATGGATTTGAATAAAGGCCATCAGATAATCCTCACCCCACATGATCCTCAATTATATTCAAAGAAAGAATGGAGTTAGAAAACCATAGCACTCTTATAGAAAAGGATTGGGTCCTGAGATTTATTTTGGCAGGACTCACCATGAAATAAAAATGAATTCAGTAGAAGGGGAAAATGAAGCAAAAACTACAGAGCTGAGGAAACAACAATGCCATCAGGCTTATGAGATGCAGGTTAGGGAAGTTATGTCTCTGTCTATAGCAATATGAGTGACAAAGGAAATGTGAACAGTGAATATCAAAATAATTTTCTAAAATGATTTAAGTGTATCCACCCCTATTGATCAATAGTCTAGCCACGAGCCACATATTTCTTTTCAGCCCTGGATATATGTCTAGTTTAATTGTGGAATTATGCTTCTAATTTTAACTAAGTGTTTATCTTAGCATTTATCCTGTGTCTAAATCACAATTATAGACAGATTCAAGCCAAGGCATACACAGCACATTGCTGAGTCTTTGGAAACTTGCCTGGATTCGGATGCAGCAAGGAAAGTGGTGGAGACCATTTCTCTTAAGAGACACTTGTAAAGGGAAGCTGGGCCCTAGAGCCCACAATGCTCTCACGGGAGTTTAAAGGCCAGAACAAGACACAGGTGAGCCCCTCAGTGAATGATATCCCAACAACGGAGTCTTCCCAGGACAGTGCATGTGGGGCACAATGAACACGGTCTCAGCCTCAGACTCCTGGGTGCTATAGGTCCGGTCATGGAGGCCTCTCCAAACCCTGCTGTCTCACCTGGACCCAGAGCACCAGGACTCAGAGGGCCACAGCTCCAGGTCTGCAGCTCACTGCTGCACCTGATTCAGATTAATCTTTGTCCAGAGACAGTAACCACATCCCGTTGAGAGCTTGTGACAGGCAGGGACTTCATACAAGAATTAGAGCTCCAGCAAGGGGTGCGCAGCAAGGCGTCCATGTCTTGAACAGAGGACACAGAAGGGATAAAGAGAAACTTGTAAGTACAAAGAGGTGTTACTCAATATTTTTAATTATTGTATTTCTCAGTACAGTGTATTCTGAGATTGTCTTTCAAAAACTTCTATGTTATAAAGGCAAGATTTTGTCATTTGGAAAAGGATAAACAATGTGATGATAAAACACAAATGACTGGCAGGAATTGGTGGAGAATGAACAGGGATAATTTTTAGGGTGGAGAATTTTTATGGCAGTGAAACAAAATTGCACAGTAGCAAACGCTGCATGTGTGTTATTGCACATTTGTTTCCCTTTGTGAAATCTTTAGCAGCAATAGTGAACCTTCATGCAAACTACAGACTTTGCACACTTATGGATCTTAATGGTTTGTAACAAAGTCGTCCTTGGTTGTTGATGATAGACTGCAGAGCCATGTGTACTGGGTAGTCAGGGCCACCTCTGTATTTCAAACTTCAATGAACAAATCTACACTAACAATTGAAGGAAGTCTTTAAAAATCCTTGCTTAGAAAACAGAAGGGCTTCTATGTTGCTGTCTGAATCCAAAATTATGCCATAACCCACAGTGCTCAGAGGTGCTCATCTGTGGCCTTCACTGAATTAGGACAGGAGCTGGACTGTCTGTGCTTTAGTAGCTAAAAAAAGGAAAGAGAATAAGGGTGTAGAGGAGAGTCTTGGTCCTTCTTCTAAAGCTTCAAAGGAGCATTCAAGCCTGGCTTGTTCAGAGAAATGCTCTCAGCAGTTGAGTACAGCTGCAGTGGAGATGAGCTGGGGCAGCCCAGCCTCACACATCTGTTTCCGTGGCTGTTTTTGTCATGGATTGTATCACTGTGGGAGGGGTACCATAACCATGTTGACAGCAATAGGTAGTAACATCTTCAGGCTGTAGGCTACTGATGGCAAGAGCGAAATCTGTCCCAAATCCACTGACACTGAACCTCGAAGGAACCCCAGATCCCAAACTGTTTGCAGCATAAATCATCAGTTGAGGAGCTTTCCCTGGTTTCTGATGGTACCAATTTAAAGCATTGATTATACCCTGACTGGCCTTACACTTGATGGTGACTGTGTCTCCCACAGATGCAGGCAAGGAAGATGGAGTCTGAGTCATCTGGATGTCACATCTGACACCTGAAATCAGAACCAACAAGTATCAACACAACCATGGTAAAACAAGACCTCCCTGTAGAAACAGGCAACTGTGACTAGGGAACTCTAACTAGACTAAATTACAAAGTAAATTTTTTCTCACCTTGGAGCCAGAGCAGCAGGAGGCCCAGGAGCTGAGTGAAGATCCTGCTGTGTCTGGACCAGGACCGACTCTTGCACAGGGTATGAGAACCTTGGGAAGAAATACTTTTGGGCATGTGCTATGCTCTGTGTGCATGCAAATCAGCATGGGCTGAGCAGGGTTGCACACAGCTGCAAGGCTGTTTAGTCTCATCAGTGGTCCATGGTTTTCTGGGGTTACTTCCAGGCCAAGATGCCACCAATTTCCCCGAGAATGTGTTTTTCCTTTGGAACACAGAGCAGAATCCAGCTGTTATCCCATGACTAAAGTGAACCATGTTCAATGGTTGGATCATAACACCCTTTGCACCTTTGAATAGAGCTGGGATTTAAAAGTTCTGTTCCCTCCGTCTCTGAATGCACAAGGATTCTTCATTCCTGTTTAACTTATGGCCACCCACATTCAGAGCTGTGTACCTGCTTCTCTCACCCCTCCTGTCTCATTGCTCACCAAGGTCATACTCTAAGAATCCTCCTGGAAGGGGCATCATAGCCAGGTGCACTACACATCACAAAGTAAAGCAGGAAATCCTGAGGAACTGGCAGATGGGGGAGACATGACCCATTGCCCCTTGAGGATCCAGCCATGTAAGCTTAGAGAGCTGGACACAGAGCTCCCTCCTTTAACGGGAAATTTTCACTTCAACATTCAAACATTCATTCATTTAGTCTCTAGGATAAGAACTTCGGCTTTGTGTATTGTAGGGTTTCTTTGCCATTTAATGAAAGCTTTGTAGCAGCAACCTTTTGGATTGGGGCCCTAATTTCTTCACTTAATCACCCCTCCCAATCCCAAATACAGGAACTTGGTCTTATTCTGCCCACTACCAGACAAGTGTCTATAGAAATTTACATGATTCGTCTTCTTAATAAATAAATCATGCAACTATTAAAGACAAACAGCTAATAATTCTCCTGGAATTAAGAAAAGATAATGATCATAGGGTACTTAAGGTCCAGGTATGTGACTACAAGAAATGACAAAAAGTTAGTTTTGGGAAAGAGAGGGGAACCTAGAATACCCTTGCTGGTTGCCAAGCTTGGAAATGTTTCAAGGTTGAGGGGTACTTGTCCAGGGGTCTTTTCTTTCCCCTCAACTCCTGGCAATTGCTTGGTAATTTCACATTATTCTACCTTTAAGACTATTGAATCTTACTGACTGATTGGAGGCCCCCAAGGAAGACTTCAAAATTTGACCAACTTGTAAAGGACAAAGTAGGAAATCTTTAGATGGTTACAAAGGGATCTATCCTCAACAGTTTTTCTTTTATTTAGAAAAATTCCTGTAAATGAAGTTGCAACTAATACATGAAACAACAGATCTGAAATTTCAGTTCTGCTGGGCTGATCATGTTGTTTGTGAAGTCCTTGACCAATTTGCACCTGCAAAAATCAGAAGACCATGGTAGCACCCAATCTCCCTGCTCATCCAGGCTGAACTAGTTTTTGTTCTGGTTTGTGGTGTAGTGTGAAGAATTCTCCATTCCTGGTGACAATAATAACTTGTGACATCATCAGGCCACAGGCTGATGATGGTAAGGGTCAAATCTGTGCCAGATCTATTGCCACTGAACCTCATATGAATCCCTGACATGGACTGGAAGGCTTACTTAATGAGGATCTTTGGAGCCTAATTTGGTGTTTGCTGGTACCAATGTGAATCAGAGGCAGTGTTCTGACTGGCTAGCAGGTGATAATGGCGTCTTCCATTGCATCATAGACAGCACAGCTGGAGACTGAGTCAGCACAGTCTCGCTTCTGGAGGCTGAAACCATGCATCAGCAGAACATGACCATGTGCATATGAAAGTCACTACAACTGTAGTCTAAAAGAAAAGAGGATATATTTTTATAGAGCTTTTATGAAGAAGGAGGAAGGAAGGAAGGAAGGAAGGAAGGAAGGAAGGAAGGAAGGAAGGAAGTTATAGGTTTAAGTAATACTGTCACTTTGAGCATCATCCAAGTAGCTTCACCTGGAATCTACAATATTAGAAACATAAGAGCCGTGATAAAGACATCATCTTGACTTTGCCATATCTATTTTGCTCAGCCTGCATTCAAGAAAAGTCTCTTATAAGATCCCAAAAGCAAATGTACTTCCAACGTAAGAGGAAAGTTAAATGAGGATCATATGGACATTGTATTGATTTAAACAAAATTTATAGGTCTCTGTTCTCAATGTTTTCTGTCTTCCCCTGCTGATCACTGCTGAGCACACCTGAGTTTCTGAAGAGCTGGCCCCTTGCAGGATCAGAGGCAGGGATCAGCTGCAGAGTGGAGACACAATCTGTCGCTGTCCTCTGGTGCAGTTCTCAGTCATCTGGAATGAACAGTTCCTCATGTCCTTAGCTTGATCTTAGGCTATGTTAACTCTCCTGCTCCTTCCATCAAAGCAGGTTGAACAAAATACATCACATAAACTTGCTATGGAACTTCTTCTCATTCCACATGATATTGATGGCAGCAGGTCAAGTAGATGTACTGAGCAAGAAAGATTGTGATTATCTTGACTGTCTAATGAAAACACTTGCTGTGCAGAGGGTGCAATGAAAACTTTACAGAAATTCTTGGGGCTGCCACTTTGGTGAAGGTGTCGAATGTCTTGATGTCTCAAATAAACTGATTCATCCTCTTCCACGGTTTGACAAGTAATTACACTTTGCTATATGCTTCAGTGTTTTTGGGTGATTTGCTTTACATAATATTCTCCAACTAACAGAATGTCAACTAATAGTTATGGCAGGATATGCAAGTACAATCTCATCTACTGGAGCTAACTAAATGTAAGTCAAAGGTCTGTGCTCCTTTCACCATTTTTGTACTTCTATCTCTGACAGTAAAGTAAAATAAAAAGTTAACATAAATAATGTGTAAATGTACAAAAGGCTTCTGACTAGAAATGATGGCATATCCGGTAAACTGTCTGTTACAAAACAATGATTAATGAAATAGCTATGAATGAAATAAATATTATAATGAAATATTATAATGAAATGAATATTATAATGCAACTTTCTCAAAATTACTTTAATAAAGCAACAATAGGAATTTGCTATGATTTAGATCAAAATGCCCTCCAAAAGTCATAGAGTACAAATGTGGCGTTTTAAGAAAGTGACGAGTCCATGAGTACTCTAACTTCATCTGTGGATTAATCCCTTAATGAGGTCAGAAGTTAATGGAATTAATAGGAGGCATTGGAATCTCAGGTGATGTGACGTGGTTACAAAGAGTTGGATGAGGAAAGCGTGACAGTATGAACTCTATTTCGTTTTTGCCTTCTCTCTCTCTCTCTCTCTCTCTCTCTCTCTCTCTCTCTCTCTCTCTCCCTCCCCCCTCCCCCTCTCTCACTCTCTGTCTCTCTATCTCTCCCCCCTCCCCGCTTCCTGGAAATCAAGAAATAAGTAGGTTCCTTTTTTCAATCCTTCATTACACCACGGTGTTTCTATATCATCATCTCCTTAAAAGCATTGCAGTCAGCAGACCATGGACAGAAATTTCTAAAACCATGAGTCAAAATAAACCTCTCTTCTCTTAAACACTTTATCACAAATATTTTGTCACAGCAATGGAAAGTTCGATAACACAGAGTCCTATTAGATTTATCTTGAAATTGAAAAGATGTTTCAAGTATATAAAAGGTGTAGTTAACAAATGGGCCCAATGTTTATATTTTTAAAACAATATCCCAATAAAAAATGCATTACCATACATTGTCCTCAAAATGTTCTCCGTTACTTTGTCTTTACAAGGTGTGACCAAGAATTAGTGAAGCCTGCTACCAAGAACCATCTAACAGAAGGCAGCCTCTTGTATATATTGTTATTTATCTTCACTTACACTTTTTTTGAGCCAGAGCTAGCTATGTAATGCAGCATGGCCTCAATCTCATGGTGACCCTTGTGTTTCAGCCTTCTTAGTGCAGTGATTACAGGCATGCATCCCCATACCCAGATCACACTGTGACTTCTGGCTCTTCCCAAAGTCAAAAGGAACCTGAGAGGTAAACATTGTGAAGTGACATCAAAGAAGACATGACAATGCAAGTTAACATACTCACGAAAGAGGACTTCCAGAACTGCTTCAGAAAGAGGAAGGAACAGTAGGATGAGTATGTTCAGAGCAAGGGGAAATACTGTAAGGAAAACTGGTGACAATGTGTCTTTTATTGTATTGTTTTCAAATTTAAATATTTACTATATTTTATATCACATCATATATATATATCATTTCAATGATTTCCTTTATTAAATGATTTCATTTCATTAAATGATTTCAAAATGGTTTAAAGCACAAATTTGAAATACTTTGCAATGAATACGTATATAAGATGTAATCTGAGAAAAAGAAAAATTATGAAGAATATAATTTTTTGTGTGTATGTGTGTTTCTGAGACAGTCTCAATACATGATTCAGGCTGTTCTTGGCTCACATTGGAGTCCAGGCTGGTCTCGAATCTGCAAGGACACACCTGCCTGTCTTAGCCTCCCAAATGCTGGGGTAACAGTAGTGCGCCCCCATGCCCAGCTCAGGAATATACTTTTCTTAATTGAGCTTAACAATTTAATGGTAGATAAGCAAATGGAGCTGTAAAGTGCACTGAGTCAGATAAACATTATTGCCCTAATTTGCATTCTGTGGGCTGGAGTCTCATGTTTGGGTTACCTTACTAAAATTAAGATGAATGAGTGAGCTAATAACAAGAAAATAAGAAAGAGGCACCGTTACTGATTATTATTACGATTGTTTCAGTCAGTTATTAGAGTTCAACACCATTGAAAAAATAAAGGAAGGAGGAAACAGAGTTAAAAAGGAAAAAAAGAAAAGTGGCTATAATAGAAAATCTCATGCAGGTTTCAAAAGAAAATTTGTGCCAAGAGTTTTATAAAGCCAGTGACATGATATGAAATACCAGACTACACATGAAAATGGAACTAACCTGTGTAATAAGTGGGAAGTATAAGTACAGACCGAGCAGCTGTGCTGGTATAAAAGAAAAATAACACTGCACTTGATCTCAGCCAAAACACTGAAAAATGATGTGAAAAACAAAACTGTAGATCTATCACTTTTGAAA